TTTGAGCCCTTTAAATTTTTAGACGACAAATTTCTAGGGAACAATAATGAAAAAAATGCGTTCTTTCCATACAAAAAGCGTCAAATTCGAGAACTTATAATCCTAATTTAATTTTGATTTTCAAATTTCCTAAATGAACTTCAGAACTAGAAAAAGAAGCCTAATATCATTTTCGTTCCCGATGTGAAGTTTAGAATAAAGCACTGAAGTTATCGATTTTGAGCATTATCAAACTCATACTTTAACTTTCAATACGGCATCATTTTTTCGCTTGCTAACGCTTGTTACTTATTCCTCCTAGAATTTGAAATTTTATTTTTCGTCACACCTCTATTTTGCGTCCCAAGTAGTAAGAACAAATATAAAGTGATACTAGTTTAATAAACCTTGTCCAATCAACTTTTTATTTGCATAAATTCCAGCGATAAACACCGGCTCAGCACTAATTTCACCGGCAGAATACAAAAGACGAGGTTCAAGTTCCACATCACTTTTTGATGCCATGAAGTATTGAAGTACACGCAGCGGCTCTGCCAATGGAAACAATGCCTCGAGATCCAAATCAATTAACTGAGTTATTACCACATTTCGAACCAGAGCTATTGCCCTAAAGTTTTGATTACTCAATTTACCTATTAAACACTATCAATACTTCGAATGCGTCATTATCTTAGTAAACTTGATAGCAAAGCATTAAAATCATTAATATTTCGGTCTAATCAATTCCTATAAACGGTGAATACATATAAATTAAAGTATGGCATATGTGTGAAGTATTAAATGTCAAAAGATTAACCTATTATGAGGTAATGCTGCAATGAGAGCTGTAAATGCATTACATAAAGATGCTGCTGATGCAGGGAATTCCATAGTTCGAATTAAATTATTAACACCTAAAGAAGTGGCTAAATTTGCAATCTGTTCATCAGCAGTTAGTTTCAGAGCCACTGTGTGAATGAGCTCTTCTGGAGCATTCGGAAACCCATATCGCAAATAAGCAGTTGTAAACTTCCACAGCAGATTAGTACCTAAAAACTTCAAATATCCATAAATTCATGGAGGACTAAAAACAAAGTAAAAGTCGTCTTTAATTTTGAATACGAAGAATAAAGGAAAAATTTTTTACCGAAAAAACGAATTCTGGAGGATTAAATTATTAACAATATCATTTGATGAATGCAGTAACTTTATACTAGAGCTTAATTTCTAGTAAGTTCATAAGCAAATTCTAATACTTACTTGCTGCCTCATTCAGCTATTTTTTTAAGCATTGAGATAAATATCTTGAAACATGAAACAATGGTTTAACAAATTCTCAGTCGTACATTAGGAAAAAAGCAGAGCTAACCAATTTGGACAAATTCTTTGTTATGCTCCTTCAGCTCATAAATTTCCTTTTTACTTGGCTGAGCGTTTATCGAATCCCCAGCGACATCAGCTCGTTGATAAAAAGAGCTATCAGTCAGAGCTCGTATTAACAAATCCCTATCCGTTTCTGGGGCACCAATTCGATGACCAAAAGCATATATTTCAGAATCATAATCCCTGAAGTTTTAATTTGCTAAGTTGCAAACAATAAAAACACTAATGAAAAAATACCGAAGCGTAAAACTGCACAAACACTTGGCTATGTTTACGAATCATAATTTACCATTACTATAAAAATTTAAAATAGAAAGGGCAAGGCACGACCATAATGAAAATAATCACTATTTTACATAAACATTTATATTTAATTACTACTTTAGCTACTATTTATTTGTTCATTCATATTATATTACCAATCTATAAGAAAATAAAATGTACCAGTTGGGATAAACCGAGCGGCTCAGTACCGGATCAGCTCCAGCTAACATCCGTCGATGAAACAAATCTTTCAAATAGGGTCTTTCCCAACGCGCTCGGACATATCTACCTGAATATATTGTGAGAAATATTTATGAATCCTCGAAATATTTCCCACAGTAATTAACAATCAAATACTATTATTATGACTAAGAAGAGAATATTTTTAATCAATTTATGTAATAAAGTTTTAAGATTTTTTCAACTCCAAAAAAGCCTCTTGATCAAGAATATTACTCTGAAAACGATGTTCGTCTTGAAGAAGTTCAAGTTTGCTTATTAGTAATGACTTATTATCAAATTATTATTTGTCTGCGGATGGTTAGTTAAATATATCTTTTATAAAGCCCGTAATTAGGCAGTGCTCAATGATATGTTGAAAATTTTGTTTTAATAATGATAATTAATTTAATTAAACAATAATGAATTTATACAAAAATTGAAAGGACCACAAATCAGTAATTAAAAAAACTTACAAGGCAGAATGAATGACGGAAGTTTGCTGCTGAACAACCGCAAAACAGCTGAAGATATCATTAAATGATTCAGCACAACTTTAAATAAATTATATTTTATTACCACCGAATAGCGAAAAAGTTTTTAGTCGCTCTATAACAAGGCGGGTTTTTTTTTGAATTCGGGAAAATTGCTTGAAAACTTTCAGGGTATTTTGCGGGTTGTTTTCACGTAGATCACGTTTAATGGAGAGTTCATAGATATGAGAGATGGGGATGACTGCACTAGATGGAAATTTAATTCGACTGAGTTTTGGTGGAGAAAAAGGAATTGCGAATAACTGAACTGCTTGAGAAGTGAAATGAATAGAGGGGTTTTCAATGAATGGCAACAAGTCAAACATTGCACCACCGACGTTTTTGTCTGAATTTATGTTTATTAGATAATTTTTTTCACTATTTAAGTAAAATAGTTAAAGTCCAAACAAAATAACCGCAAAACTGACGAAAAAGATTTTAGATCAGTTTTATTTTACTAATGAAACAACTCGCAGTATGAAATCGAAATTAAATTCAAATGTTTAAGTTCTAAATTTTTTTCCACGTAGAGTAGAATAGAGTGAGTTATACTGCGCATTGAGACTAATTATCAGTCAAAAGTTAAAATTTCCTGAGATCAGTGACTGAAGAGAGCACTCGACCTGGACACTTTTCTACTTCAGCAAGACGTGCAGTGAAGTGCGTGCTAAGTTTCCCTAATTTTTATGATTCATTATTTCATTTCTCATATAACTTTAGTAATTGTAGTCATTTTTGATTCCATAAATTTTAATAGAATTGCAGGGATTTGCGCTTGAAAAACAGTAAAATTACATCCGCTATATGAAGTCGAAGCTAATTCGAAAGTTTGCAATGATATATTTTCGAATTCACAGCTGATAATTCGTAAAAATGATGTTGTGGATTCATTTGACCATTATACTAATTCAGGACAAAGAAAATGCCTTACTTTCTAAGCAGTAAATGTTACAGAGGTTTATTTATTCATTTATTGCCTTGCTAATGTTGTGCTTGACAGCACACTTAGTCTTAAGTGTTTGAAGCCTTACAGTAATGAATTAGATAATACAATAATACAGTGATTTGATATATGACTTTATTTGAAGTTTTAAATAAGCATTTTGAAAAGTACTACCGGTATAAGTATGTTTTATTTAATTCTTTTCTCTCGGATATATTTGTTACATTATCATTTTTAAAATATTTTTTAAATCTCAAGAGCTATATATGGCTTTCATAAAATGACAATAATCTTATATAAGTGAACTTATATGATACTTGAATATCGCAGAGCAACAACTTTTACCTTACTAAAACAATTTTGTTTGGTTATTTCAGAAGTGCCAAGTATGGATGCTTTGCAAAATGGGGTCATTAATTTTCGTTATTTACTTATTACTTGTTTTCCAAACATTTTTATATGTTTACGTGTGTGAATACACGGATTTCGTACTTGTTAAAAAGTAAATACTAAAGATGAAGGGTATTCTCAAAGGAATGTAATGTTCGAGTTTCGGTACGGGCAGATGGTGTAATCTTAAAAGACTTAATTAGGGCTGGGGTTAATAAATGTAATTCAGCAGATAGCACTGCCAAATTATATTCAGAGCAGATGTTTCATTTAGTATGTTTGCAATTTCCTTCACTCATGTATTTTGATAGAGCCATGCCATGGACAGCATTATCATATGTTAATGAAATACACAATATTTCAAGGTAACTTTGTATTGCTTTCAAGATCATCTTACTTTTGAGCAAATGTTTGCTGCTACTCTACATTCCGATTATGATACTTTACAATAAATTTACGTTAACATTGTTATCGAAGGCAAAGTTGGTGATCTCACAGGAAGTCACGCAGTGATTTAATTCTAATCACGGTAAGCTTTCTTGCTTGGTTCGTGAAATTTATGTCAAATAAGTCAGTCATGAATTCTCAGAGTCCGATATTTTTCTATGGATTGCTACTGCTAATGCTCTTGCTATTGATAGTGCATTTCGAGAATATATCTTAGTCGGGGCCAAATTTCACTGCTGCAATCGTTATATTATTTTTTATATTTTAAGTAAAACTTAAAAATTTAAATTGTATATGTCCATGATATTCTATAAAAAAATAGAAATTCATTTCATCCTGTCAAGCTTATATTCCTAAACTTTCATTCATTGTTTGACCAAGTTGATATTAATTTATTTTATTCTATTTATATTTATTGGTTACTGTTTCCTAAGCTGTACTGCTTAATCTGCAAAAAATTTCAATAATAGAATAAACTGCTAAAAAACAGTTATCCGAAAACCATTAACCATTAATTTTTGATAAATGGTAGTAAAATTTTCTCTGTTCGAAGATTTAATATCATTTTAAGACTTATCATCGCAAGAATGCTTATTTTTATTTATCTCAGGTACTACTCAATCTGCAAAAAATTTCAATAGTCATAATGGAATAAACTACTAAAACAATATCAAAAAGTCATCAGTTCTTTATAAATGTTCGTGAAATACTGTTTAATTATTCCATAAAAGTTGCACTGTATTCTTTGCAAACATATTAAATATTTTTCCTTCGAAGTTTCACTATACTTTTTATTGTGTTAACACTGAAGCGTATTTAAATGTTTATACTTTTCCAAATGTTTAATAAAATAATCTTTGTGGTTTACAGTTGTACGCTTTGTAAAAATACAATGAAGTTTTGAAAAATTCATCTGCAAAAAGTATAGTGAAATTTGGAGGCGAAAGTTCATCTTTACTATAGTTTCAATGATTTGAAACTTAGTTAATAATTTTTAACTTTTACTTTTAATACGTAGACGTCACAGTAGTAATATGATGATGATGTAAACATAAGCAGTTAAACAAAACCAATTCGATAGCAATCTTCATCTATCTGTACGCATATTATTGCTTGATTGCTTGATCATGTCACTGCTTGATTTTGTATGTATAAAGCATTCGAACTTTATGAGAAAAAAAACCGAATCTAAAAATTCTTTTAATTTTTTTGAAAAGTGGTTGTTTTGGGCTAAAGAATTGATCTTTTAAGTATTTAAATGAATGCTTAAAGATCTTAAATCCGATTATTTTTTTACCTATTAATTTAGTTTGCTTTGCCCTTCAAAATTAGACAGCGTATATTAGACATTTTGGGTTCAGTAAAGATTGATCTTAAGGCAATAATCAATTATTCACTGGTCGATCAAGACATATGAAAGTTCTCATAATTTTGATAGAAGTATGCAAATTATGGAGATCTGTTCACATTATTTAGTATTGGTATAAATATAAGGCACTTTGAATATCATCAAGTTTGAATGAATAATTTATTTGAGTTTTAATTCTATTTTCTTAGCTTAAAAAAGTGTCTGCATGATGTCATAAAGGTGTTTGAATTTTTAGAAGATGTTGCGATTATCTTTAAAATTCATCTCTTTAAATTCTCTTAATTTTGCATAAGTGAATCGCACACAGAAGTAACTAAATTGATTCAACATCGTGCACAATAAATTACTGGTTTGGATTTTTGAGTTCAAGTTTTCTGAAATTAATATCTGCAAGTATAACTTATAATAAGTTATATGAAAAGGATTTGAGTGATAGATGGTAAGTATTATTGATATATGTAATTAAGTATTACTGATATATGTAATTAAAATGATTTTGTTCAGTGTCGATAAATATGATTAAAGTAAGCTTGATTGGCAGTGATAAATATAACTAATGAAAATAAATCTATTTCTCTTTCTTGTAAAACCGTTTCTACTAGTAGTTGAATCATTCAGAAGTAAAGTCTGTTCAAAATATCAGCGCTGATACAGCACGCATAAAAATACAGTGTTGACGAATGTGATAAAGTGATAAAAGTTTAAATTTAACACTAAATTATATTTTATTCATTATGATTGAGTAGTCAGATTTTCTTAGTTTGAACTTTTACTGAAGATTATTGCGTGCTTGTTACTTTCAGAGTTGTGTTAGAAGTTGAGTAGGGTGGAAATCATGAAAAGATAAGAATCTCTATCACCTTTCCATGACTGCAAGAAGTTCCATTTGTCCTTCATTTTGAGTTACAAGTTTTGTCTACTTTTCCTTCTCTTTTATAACCTTTGATACTTTTTAATGATAATACAAATTCGCATCTATCCTTTGCTATTCGTAGTAATTTTTTTTATCAGTTCAAAGACTTTTCTTATCATTAAGATCAAAAATGCATAGTAATTTACTTGCAAAGATTTGCTTTTATCCATTTCTATCAGTATTTATTTGTCACCATTTTCCATCCATATTAATTACTCACAATTTGTTTTCATTTTATTTGCATACAGTAATTTTATTTTGGACAGTATCTTCTTTTTTAGAATACATTAGATTGGATTTTAAAAAGTTTTATCATTCAGTTATTATCTAGCTGAATTATAAATGTATTATGTAGATAGTGTCGATCTCATATGGATAATTTTTATGAAGTGCATGAGAAGAAGTAAAACTGATTTGCAAATAATGATATATTTTTCGATCAAATTTTTACTGATTTATTGTTGTATTAAAGATTAGTTTATGGTAGTTTTAATTATAAGACACATGGTATGAATCAGTTTAATGAATAAATACTTAGAGTACGTACATTGAAATCTTGAGAGTTTCCGAGGAAGTTATTAAAAAAAATGGCTTACAATTTGTGCATATAACATGGTTTTACTTGCAATCAGTTCAAGAGTACGCACGACTTTAAATTAACCCTATTCATCACTTATTAATAATATTTTTTAAATAGCAATGAATGTTTGTAATCACTCACATACACATAATGCATTGAAGAGAAGTTTTATGCTTGAAAGATTTCAGATACTTTTGCGAATTTAGTTTTATTAACAGTATTGTGAATTTATACTTTTTGCGACATTTTTGATTAAAATTTTGAATAAACGTTCGTAAACTTTACGATTTTGGTATGTTAATATCGCAAGCAGTTCATAAAAGCAGCAGTAAGATGATTGTATCATATGAAATTGTAGTGGACAAGTGTTTGGATAAATATGAGGAAAATTGAAGCAAGTTTTTTTGAAATATGGTGAGATTGATTGCAAGAATTCTTTTTGTTCCAGCAAGATTTAATGGTATCAGCTTAGTGCCAAACAGTTGTTGAGGGAAATCGGAAATGAAATTGGAACTATCTGCATTTAAAATTTAAAAGTAAGAGTAGCTAAAGAGGATGAGCAGTGAAATGCAAAACTTTCCATTCATTCATTCATTTATTATAGATAGTACTATTGCATATACACTCAACGTTTATATCATTTTATTGCGATGGTTTCTGGATTCTAACTTTGGATACAAATAATAAACTTGATCACTATATTCAAATAATTTTTGCATACTTTTATAAAAACATCAAAAAGTATTTTTTTTTCAAAATTTTATATTATGTACATTTTATGCTGATCTTCAGATATTATCGCGATCAATAAAATGTTTAGTTATTATTATGATTTTTTAAAATTCAAAGCTTTACAGAAATAGTTCATTATTCATTTGCCACTCATAATTGAGTCTATTTAGAATAAATGATGTATCAAAATAATGGAATAAATCAGCTTAAGTAATAGCTTACTGAAATGAATATTACTAGCTACTCAGTGATATTCCAACCAAAGTGTGTTGTTATTATTTAAGTAAAAAAATTTTAATGCATATATCACACCATATCAATTTGATGATAAAATTTAGTGAAATAAACGGATGCGTGTGTAATCAAATTTTGCTATTTGGTAATTGTTATGGGACCCAATATGAAATATTTTCATCAAACGTCACTTGAATAAATTAAAAAAAATGATTAAACCATTTTTTTATTTTCAGGCTTTTTTAAAATAAAATCTTATCAAGATATTCATTCAACTGGAAGCGTTTGCCTTGTTTATTGTGTTTCAATTAGTATATTCTGTATTACTTTGGTGAGTTTATTATTATTAATGAGTGAAAAGGTTAAATTTCATGCTTTGTTATGTTATTTTCAAAAGTGATTTAGTGAAGAAAAAATGAGCAAGTAATTGGACAAATATATTGTAATATGTGAAACAAAATATATTACTTACTGCGTGATATAATATGTACTTGAAATTCAACATAAATTATCAGTCATAAATTTGTACGTATATCGTCCTGTGATTAAAGTTTGATTAACTTTCACTCCATTATGCATACACACGTAATGGAAATCGAATTAATTTCATTGAATATATGATATATGAAGTGAAAAAATTAATATCTCGTAAGTGAAGATAGAATATAAAATGGTCTACGTTCAATTTTTAACATTTTTTACAGTTTTTAATCAAAATTTTTGCAAATAGTGCTACAATTATTCTATCTAAATAGAGTATTTATTGCTTTGCTATCACTTGGTAATGTGATTATAAAAATTTGGTATAATCATTAGATTTTTGTTTCTGATTTTGATTAGAAATGATTGTAATTTTCAATTTTGATTTCGAAAATAAACAAAACAACAGCAGTCTCATAATCATTCATTTCAGTATGTTATATAATGAATGGAAAGCAGGCAAGTGTTAAACGTGGCTTTAGGTCACATCTGACACGACCTTCAATCTTACGAAGTTCGCGAAATATTCCATCTTATCTTACTCATCGTGACCCGAATGTTGAACATCGGCGTGTACATAAAGATGATAGTGATGAGATCATTCCTAAAAAACGCCTGGATTTGAATTTGGAAGATAGAGAAAATGAGAATTCAAAAGTTTGTTTCTTTTTTAGCTGTAGTACAGTGATTGTGTAATTTAATTACTGCATAGCAATTAACCAATAATAATGTTCGTTTTGTAATTGTTTTTAAATAAAGCGAATTCAGTTTTAATGCGAGAAATCGGCAATTTTTTGGAATATACAAATCAGTAAATTTTTTATCATGTAAAAAAGCGAACTCTAATTCTACAATTATTTCATATCATAAATAAACTTTGTGAATTCATTTATTTTGAATAAAACTTTACAAATTCGTTAATTTTTGTAATGAAAATTCTTAAAGTTTAGTTGCATAAATGGAACTAATTTTTTTGCTAGTAAGATGTGATAATTAAACTGAAAATATGTATTCATACAACAGTATCATGAATAAGTACTTATATGTATCATTTCTAAAATTCTTTACAATTACTCACATCACACTTCAATCTATTCATGATCAGCATTTTTGATTGCATTGATACTTTAATTATTATCATTACAAAACTATTGTATTCAGCAAACTTTACAGAATAATGTGGTAGCACAGTTTTCATTATGCACTGATCTCGAAGTAAGTACTCTGTTATGTATTATACAAAAATTTTGAGGATAATATGCAGAAAAGAGTGCTGTTAGCTTTGAAAAGTATATGACATTGGTGGATACAATAATATATATTTTTCAGTGTTTCCAATTTATTTTACTAATAGTTTCTTTCCTATTCACAGTACTGTAAGTAACAAAGATATTGATAACAAATTTATATTTTCTGTCATTTCAGTGTTTAATCATAAACATTGAATTTTAACAAATTATTAGCTTTTTTTAAACTATGTGTTAATTAGTCACAGCTAATAAATACTGTTAACTTAATGTTTGTAATATTTATCCATAACTTTTTAGTGTCGATTTGATGCACTCCCGTCAAGAAGTCGATGGCTTCCTACACAAGCCTGTAAATTTCAAGTGTATTGCGATGATAATCAACATCCACAAACTTCATGCGTGGTGGATTCCAAGGTAATTTATTTACAAAACAGACTAATGTTGATTTTAAGTATTTCAACTTTTCGGTTATCTTTTTTGACTCAATAAAAAAATTTCGTGAAAATTATTGAAGTATGATTTTTAGCTTACTTTTATTGTTCTCATATGAGAGTTATGCGTAATCAAATTTGTTTTTATCGTATATATGATTGATTATTCAATATTATTATTGATAATCACAATAGTTATCATTGTGATAATTATTTTTAGCAAAATAGTAATTATCGAAAGCAGGAAGAAGTTGGAGCATGTTGCTCCTTTCAATCTTCAGGATTGCAGAGAAATACTAAATTTACTTGTGAGCATCCAGATTCAAACGAAGAGCAGTCATCTTCTGATGATAATTCATCATCATCATTCGATAGGAATTTCGAATCTGATAGTAACTCTGATTTTATTCAGGTATCTGCTTTTGAACTTGCAACTGAAAATTATTTCAAATGCAGTTATCATATATTTTATTCGTGCAATTACCACATAATAACTCAATACAAAGCATTTGTTACAGTCAAAATTTAAATTAGTTTTTTTTGACTTGCTCTTGTTTAATTTATGAATTAAAGCAGTTTTAATAAAGATATCAATATTAAGGTTTATAGTGAGATGAAAATTCTTTGATGAAAATTGTATTGTAAAGTTATTTTCAAAACTTTTATAATGATAGCAATCAGAATTTCACTGCATTCAAAAATCAAAAATGCTGATAATAATGAGCAATATTAAGTGTAATGTGAGTAATCATGAAGAGTGTTAAAAGTGATGTAAATAATTTTGTGGTACTAGTTGAATGATAAAGTAGTCTCAAGATGTTGTTTATGACTAATAATTTCTTTCCAATTCACACTACCGGAAGTAACAAAAATATTAATAATAAACTTTATATTTTCTGTCATTTGGGTTGCTTAATCATAAATATTGAATTTTAGCAATTTATTAGCTTTTTTAAACTATGTGTTAATTATTCACAGCTAATAAACACTGTTATCTACGATACTAGTTGAATGATTACATAGTTTCAAGGTAAATGTCAGATTCTGTAGCAAAAAAATTTGGTTCCTTCGATCATTTTGTAAGAATTTGTGCTATTGTGTTTAAAACTAACAAGTTTATAAAGTTCATTCAAGATATAAAATATTTTCATGTACGCGTCAAAAGGTTTAATAACTTGTATATTTAAAAATATCAATTTTGTATGTTTGAAATAACGATTTTTATTATAAAAAAAGCTATTGAAAAGTCTGTAAACTGTACATCTATCTTGTTACTAGTTTATTTAGAACAAAAATTGAATAATTTACTGATTCAAATGGGGACAAAATGTTAGTTTTCAGGATGAAAACATTCATCCAGGAACTAGTAGTAATCAAAATATCTTACCTTGGTGCCGAAAAATTGGCTTCCAAAAACGATCTCACCATGTTCATTCATTAAATTTGCGTTCTGCTTCAAGATTACCTGAAGGTTCATGTACTAGTAGGAGTAGTTCTGGAGTAAGCATCATTAATGTTGTATTGTAATGGATGAAATTTTCGGTTTAAAAATTCAATGCTACATTTTGTACGAAAATTTTGATTGATTTGAAATAATTGTGATATTGTCCATGATGTATAATGAGCTATGAGAATGAGATGAGAAATGCAATTAATCACAAGTTTATAATTATCTATTCATATGTAGAAATTATCTTCATTTGCTTTTATCATGAAAAATGTTTGTTGGTGTCTTAAATAAAGAAATCATCGACTTTTATTTATAGGAAATTAATGGGGATGTTATTAGTGTAAGTTACGTATACTGTGAAGATATGTATAGATATAAGCGATATTTGGAATTGGAACGACGGATTACAGGAATTTATTTAATGCGTCAAGACAGAGTGCTAACGAGTACAATGCGATATGATGTGATTAATTGGATGTGTCAAGCAGGAGAACAACTTGAAATAGGCTTGGTACTTATGTTTGTCTTTTCATATTTTTATCGAAATAAGGTTAGATTCACTCTAACTTAATAGTGCATAATATTATAAATAGTTATTTATTTAAAACTATTTGCAAACATGAAGTGCTGTATACAATTACAAAAATTTGGTGGTAGATTAATATTTTTAAAAATAAAAACGATAAAAATTTATAGCAATTATTTATGCCACAGTGTTTAATTAATAAAACGATGTATAATAACATGTCTTATCAACAAATTTATTTCATTTTGGCAGCATACTTTTCATTTGGCAGTTGCGGTTTTTGATGGAATGATGGAAGCATCACCAAAGTTTCCTTCAGAACATATCCAATTACTTGCTGTTTCATGTTTGCTTATTTCATCGAAATTTCAAGATACTATTTCAACAGATGTAAAACAGTGTGTGAAAGTTACGAATGGTTTATATAATGAAGTTCTGGTATATTAATTGAATGGATATTGATTCCATGATATATGTATTTTTATAAGCGTGAGTAGAGTGTGATTACAATTTTTTAACGTGGCCAAATACTATGAGACTTAGTTCATAAACTATTGATATGAATTCATGAAGGTAACACTGAAGAAAAATATTAGAATTTCTCTTTTTCACTAGAATCGACAGTACCGTTTTTCAAGTTGAATTGATGGATTGGATTAATTCATTTAAAGAATTTAGTTTTTATCAAGAAATATCCATTTACAAATTATCAAAAATAGCTTGTTCGAATATTTGGAACTTGCATAGTTGTTTGGTTAATATACAAGAATTAGCAGTAGTCATCATTAGAAAATATGATAATAACAATAGTAAAAGTAGTGTTTCTTGTCATCAGAGAATATCCCATCATAATTTAAGTTTGTTCAATGTAGCTTTAATTCGAATTAAAAAAAAATTGACATTGCAGATATTAAAAATGGAGCGATTGATATTTGCAACATTAAATTTCAATATGCTGCTACCAACTTCATATTGGTTTGGTTGGCGATTAATAAGAAGAGCAAAATTTGCAAGAGTTGCTTGCGAATTAATGTATTATTTTCTAGAATTAGCTTTATTGGATTCTTCATTTCTCCAACTCAGGCCTAGCATGATTGCAGCTTCTTCATTTTACCTCGTTTTATTGGTACATAAATTACAGTATTTTATTGCTATGTTAGATTCAGGTTTGTTTTTATGTTTTATCGAAAAATCACAAATTTGCAAATGGCATTTCAAAGTTAGTGATGATAATTGGTAATGCGAAATAAGTCATTACACAAAAGTAATCAAAACACTAAGTTTGTAAATCATTTGTAAAAGTGTGTGAATATTATTAATATTGCTAAAGAACTGTTTTAATAGCAATATAAAAATCACGCAACTGTGCGATTGAAATGCTTATATTTAATTTTTAAAAAAATCAGTAATTATCTGGAATGACACAAAAGTAACTATGATTAAAATGAATAATCAGTTGCAACAATGGAATTCCTTATCCTAAAAAGTATACCATCTGCAGATATTGATCCTGAAGAACTTATTGTTCCAGCCAAGAGATTACTAGCCCTTTTTCATGAAGCTCCAGTAAAGGAGAATTTTATTTTTCTAAAATACGGGACAGCAAAACATGAATGGGTCTCATTATCAAAACTTCCAAGTTATTTTCCAGAATTAAATTGACGCAACATGTCGTTGTTATTGTAAGTTTCAGGTTTTATACTTGGAGTTAAAGTATGCTTCGTAGTCAGTATCGTTTTTGATTTTTTTAAAGTAACCGAGTGATCATGTACATCATCAATTCTATTAGTTAAAATAGTGAAAGTATTGAATAATAATCATTACCACTGCCTGATTAGTCTTCCATATGAACTGAGTCGGAATCACTAATTTAATATGATCAAGTTTTATTGTCGCCTTTCTTATTTTAAACTCATGTTATGCAGTGCCACTGTATATTCACTACACCCAAGCATGATCTTTATTCCTACCACTATTATGAAAAACTAATATTTCAAGCATTTTCTTAATATCTGAAATGTTTTTTTTAAAACAATTATGATTGTATTATAACTTGAAATCTTCATTCACCACAAGTGAAAGCATAATCTCTTAAAACCCAAGGAATTTGCCTTTACTTAGAACATCATAACTGTTGTATGCAATGATGGGAATAAAAACTTTTCGTTGTACTTACGACCACGTAGTTGATTTAATTACTAAGACGAAAAATGAAAATTGTATCAAGTGGAGAACACATATATGCGACTGCTAACATCTGAAATGGAATTAGAAAAATGATAAGATGAGTGCATCAACAGGATCCACATTTATTTTACTCATTTTTAATATAGAAATTAGAACCATTTTGCTCTTTTACAGTATGAGATTAAAAAAAATAGTGCAGGAAAAAACATACCAAAAACCGATTTAAATTATCTGAAGAGAGCAGTATTATTCTCAAACCGTAGTATCGATGATTGCTGCATCTAAATCTAGATGTTGGGCAGAAGTGAAAAGTGAAAAAAAGATCACTATCGATTAGTGTTGGGACAAATTTCGACTTTTTCAAGCTTCTGGTAACAAAAATGAAGCACATTGAGGTATAAGTTTATCAGCACAAATCATCAACAAATTCAGTGAATGGTTGAGCATAGAAATAATTCCTCTGAGGAACATTTTGTAGTATTCAGTAGCTCTCTCTCCAAGCAGTCAGTGTTCAACTGTAATTTATTGTAATGAATTGGATACTGAAACAGATGAAGGAACTTCGCATCGTGCCAATCATCTTTACATTTTGCAAGTCAGAGAAGGATGAGTTATTGCAGAGTATTTGTCATTACTAGCACGAAGAAGTCACTGCACACATTACTTACTTAAAAAAAATGCAGTGCATTTTCTTTGCTTGCCACTATTTCATTTGTGAAACTTAATGCCATCATGTAAGGACTTTAAAAATTCTCTCCTATATTCACTAAGTATATCGCTTTTTTCCACTGTTTATTTCAGAGGCAGAGTTAACTTAACATAATGATTGAATGACACGTATCTTAATTCCAGAAATCTGAATGGAAACATGGCACTTCTCTCAAAAGACTGATCAACAAGCTTTTCCAGTCAATTCGATCTTATCGCCTTTCGGAAGCCATAAATGATCTACTAAATTACAGTAGTCTTTGATAGCTCTAACAACAGTTTCTGTAGCAGTCGACTATATCTCGTTATCGCCACTTCTCTCACTTTCATCTTCAATAAAATCACGTGGTACTGGTTTTATTTAATTTTCATTAAGACTTTACTCACGCTATCGCTTCTATTTAATCGTTAAATAATTTAACACCATTAATATTTTACAAACTTATATCTACACATTTCTCAGACACTTCCATTATCATATAGATGAAAATATTTATTTTACAAAAGCAAATATGGGAATCACTTTAAAGGTCGTACTACTCACCTTGCCAGCTATCCAAAAACTTTTTGCATATTTGACACTTAAACAGTGTTGCATCATCTATTCACAGTATCCCTATTAATGACATCTGAAGCGACCTTCCAGTATTCACGTAACTTCCGAAGTAGCATAAGTTAAGAAACTATATGGATATATTCACTTGCTTTTAGAGTCAGATCATATTCAGCGGCACTGTTGTAATATGCAGCAATAATGAACTCTACTTCGGTATTAATTATCCGTAAGTTCCAGACGAAGTTGGAAATTCAATTCTGTCAACACGACTCGATGGGTAAACCTCCTTGGTGTGTACCAATGACACTATGAAGCCAGTCATTATTGATGCTTTCAACACACACATTTCATTGTTCACACGTAACTAAAAAAATTATTGAGAAATATCGTTAACTGGACATGAAATAAATAATAATACTGATTGTAAGGAATATATGAAAGCTTCTGTCTTGCTCTAAATTCACAACCTATATTTACGTGAATTTATACTTGCAAACAATATTTTAAACGTCTACAATGCGAATAACAAAATACAGGATCAACTTCATAACCACAATAGGGCATATCGTGAGATCTCTTATTACATCACTCACAAATCGAACAATGCGCATGCATGAAAGCTCTAAACACTTCATCGTTTTAATACTGGTACAGGAAAAGGATCAATCAGATCAAATATAAATAGCAATGAATAGTGAACATTTTCCATCTAATAATCAATCATTTTATTGATTTACACCATATATTTTGTTGATTTGAAAATCCAATTACCAGCATCAGAATAAGGATCAAAGATCTCTGATTATGCACAGATTCAAAACTGTTTGGCTGGAGCTCATCTTGAATGCAGGAAATCGTAACAAATGAACAGGAGGATACAGCCGTGTCTTTCCTTTTCTTTTTATCAAACTCCGAAGTCATATTATAATTGAGAAGTCTTCCATTCGGTAAGTAGCTCACTTTTACAGAATTGCATTCTTGTTTTTTTCGTTCTTCAAAAGCATCGACAACTGATTTAACAAAAATTCTATCCTACACTACATTAACAACAGCATTATATGTCTATGAAAAATATAAAAATTAGGATAAATCACTTGCTGAAGTTCTTTTTTAAAACAATCTTAATTTTCCCACGGAAAGAAAGCAATCCCAATTTACTAATAAGTTGAGAATACTCATATGCACGTAATTCGCAAAGGAATCTCTTCCACAAGATTTTTATCGAAACTATGGTGTGATATTGACTAATTCTTCAATTTCTAAATATACTACAGAAAGAAATGACTATGAAGTGTACAGTGATAAAACCGCATAATAATGCTGCAAAATCTAAGTTGTATAATATCATCATGTTCCGTATATTCTCCTTAAAATTTACCTTCTCATTATGATTAACAGAAGATGGTGCTGATCCGAAGGAGACATATTTACTTGCCGCAATTAATTCACGACAAAAATTTCCCGTTTCTTCGCCACTTTGAGGACAGCTTTTGCGTAACATTAAATACTGATTTACTTCCTCCAAATAGCAAATTCGCTAAAACTCAAACTAATGATTCATATTACCTGAGTCATACTCGCAACGCTGAAAACTAGCTTGCACTTGATTTAGTTTTTTGAAAGATTTTCAAAGTAGTACAATAAGTCAAAAAAAGAAATGTCAGTGCGTAATACCAATATATTAGACAGATGATATTACAAGTACTCCTACTGAATTTCAACTCAAACAACGACCAAACCTTACTTAACGATCTAAATGATAATTAATGCAGATTTTTAATAAGCATTTTCACCAACTCACCATAATTTTTTAGACATGATGGTTAGTGAATATAATGTGATGGAAATTGCAGTTCCGAAAAGAGTTACATTTTTTTTTAATTGATCAAGTTGTAATGCACAACCACGAAAATCGTTCGAGTAAATGTCAGCAACACATAAAGAAGTATCATTTTGTTCACAACTGCTGAAGCAAAAAATTTCGAAAGGAAGTAATTACTGCGAGTTAATACTTTGCTGTTGAATCGAATGTTATTGCTACTGCTGCTGTCATTTATAAGTAAAGCCAGCTGAATAATTCAAATTACTTTAAGGCTTGTCTGCTATAAAAGAGAAGAGAGGACTGAAGCGGAGAAGCTGCAGAGAGTAAACAGCAGTAGGTAAACAGAAAAATGATTCACTCATGTTCATGCAGCGTGACCTCGTCATCCAACATAGAAGGGACTTTAGGAGGACGCAAGAAAGGGTTACTATCCGCAATATAGTTCCCCGATGACTTGATTCTTTTTTTCGACGTGGATTCTGTTTGCACATCGAAAAGCAGAGCATCCAAAAATGGTCTGCTGTTTGTTTTAGGTTCGATAATTTCTCCAAAAGTAGGTACTTCTGCTTCCAGCAAGCTAATATTCGTCTCATTTTCCTCCTCAAACATACTGCTTAAAACATTACTGACATATTCCAACTTTGCATCTTTCAATTGTTCATTCTCCTCCGAAGCCGCAGGCACAGCTGAAAACTGTCCACCATTCATCATCCCCTTGTCTACATTTCCCTCCACAGATGCCATCCTTTCAGCCTTTCGTTGATGACTTCGTTCTTCAGCTGCAGCAGAAATCTTTTTCACGATGCGCTGCTTATGAGCATCAAATAATGAAATAGAACAATTCGTACGTAAAACAAAATCCTTTAGCGAAACGATAGTATTTCGATGCAACAATGCCAAACCCTCACGAGCTTTCTCGTAAGATGGCTCTGGTTCACCAGATATTTCCGTACGTACGTATGTGTGCGAATCAGGAAATGGTGGAAACCAATCTGGAATATATGAAGGGCGTGGACGCAAACTACCAACACGAAGCTGTTGTTGCACATGAGGTGAATTTTGCATACGAGGTGGTGCTATCACTAATGAACCTTTAGAAGTTGCTTCTTTTAAAAATGCTGGCAAATTAGTAACTGCAGCGCCTATATCTACTAAGCCCATAATAGTATCTGATGGTGTTGATATAGTACGACCAGCATGTTCTGTCATTTGGCGAGTAGTTGCCGCCAGTTCACTGATATAAGAATTAATCATGTGCGTAAGCAGCTCGAGTGCACTAGCTTCCACTACTTCAAATCCCACCTGCTTACAGATAGCAGCAACTGCCTGACGTAACACGCGCCGATGCACGTAATCAGATACCGTTGGTGGATAACTCGTTGACGATAAACAATGCATTACTCTAGCTGAAATTTACTCTACTATGATAACAAATTAATAATCTTTATTATGGGTAATTTAACTTACAATAAAAATGTTCTAAAGAACCAACTGTCAATAATATCTACGGCAAGCTTGAAAAAAATCGAAAAAAAAATCCTTCCCAATTCAAGAACAACAAGCTCAAATACTTAAGCTCTACAGCTCTATATAGCTCAAGCTCTTAGCTTTAAACTCTAATATATTGAATATATCTTGCACACAACTTTTGCACATCAGATGTATGAATAATAGTTCTGACTCCAGTAATGTGTACTACGAAAAGCAAATAAACCATATCAAACAAACAAAAAATTTAAATTCTAACATGAAGTGCTGCAGAGAATCAACGCATATAAATAATGCAAAATAAAGGAAAAAGAAAACTTAAGCATACACAGTCATGAGAACTTTTTTTCAATAGTGACATGCAGATCCCAGTGCAGGTTACCAGAAACATATGTAATATTAACAGTTCGAGAAAACTCATAGTACCTGATGATGGATGGAGACGAATTGCTTTTGCTGAAGCTGCATTCTCCTTGCTTTTACAGATGAGTTTATCAGGTAAAGGTGACGACAGAACAGGCCTATTCACAGGGAACATCGATCTAAATACAGTATCATGCACTGATGAAAAAAATATGCTCGTCTCAGAATACCCTCAACTGATAAAAATACACACTTGAGTATAGCAGATGTTCCACCAAAATGGCATACTTCATGAATAATTTAGAGCATGAGGAACAGTTACAATCAAGGAAAGATAGTTGGATTCCAACACAATGTTTTCTGGCCTTATCATTCTTTCTGTCCTCTGGCAAACTTACGAGAGCATCCTTACATTAGTACTCAACTTCCTACCTCTTTCGATGCTGTCGTTTACTTCCTGCAGCATTTTAAACAAAGTGAATGATTACGCATGAGTTTTCCGCTGCAATTCATCGTAAACATATGAAAAAGGCAATAAAAGTAATTTAAAAGCAGTCAGAACATCCATACACATTATGTAATATCCATTTTTAAGATTATTTACTCTTTGAAACCTCTCTTTATATACAAACAAAGAAATATCAACAAACTTTACAAATTTACAACCATCAAGATGCATTAATGATCATTATGAACCAAAAATAAAAATCAAATGCATAATACAAGAGGTAATAGAATTAAAAATTAATAAGTAAAACAATTATAGTTGTTGCTCAACAAAACAAAACAATATAAAAACATTAAAAACAATTTTTAAAAACACTTAGAATGCAATCCGTTATTAAGGTCTTTAAAATACTAACCATTAAACAAAAAATAATGAGCAAACACACTTTAAGTCTGTAAAATGCCATTAAAACACTGACCATAAAACCAAGAAATACTGAACAAACATTGCGAGTACTATATGTTTATAAAAATAAATGCGAAACATCTTATGTAATAGCTTCTATTATATACATCATAATGACTTAAAACTACTAAAATACTCAACCATTCGACAATTATAAAACAAGTTTAATTGTAAACAATTTTGAAGGGATTCAAAATATGAAACTACTATAAAATTTCTAAAGAGACTGAAAATATTGATGTTCTAAGTTTAAAACTGCAGCAATAATGCTTTCATACAATGCACTATTTTATCATATTTTTTCCCGTACAAACTAACATGATCATAGATGATCGCAATCCATAATCAATATCATGAAATACTAGCTACAACACGCTTTAACCTGAGTTTAATAAAAATCAAAAAAACCATGTATTGTTGCACAAGCCCTAATCGCACATGTAGATGGAAGTTTCCAGCATACAATCGGTAGCAACAAATACTAATTCAATCAACACTGTTGGTTACTTACATTTGACAAATAATATTCCTTTATTGTTCTTGGGAGAATAAAACCTAAAACAGGAATATTCAATAATAAACAATTAACAAGAGTTTAAAAAAATCAATTACATTTCTAGTCCAAAAAAAGTTCATTAGTGTGGTTAAACTAAGTGTGAATGTCAAAAAATCAAGTAAAAAACCAAATTTTTTGCTAAGAACGAAAAAAACGAACTCATAACCAGACTGTTGAAGCCAATTTATAACCGCTGGTTTGATTTTTGCTTGCCCATAAATATATTTTCCATAGCCAGTAACAATAGTAAGCTCGTTCCCGGATGGCCCATGTCTTAGCTTTGAAGGTCCTAAAATTAAATCGTTTAAAATAATATGCGATTGAAATATACATCAAATTTAAGTGTTAGCTGCTGTTGTTTATGAGTTTGCCAAATTTTTACAACAATTCATAATTCTGTAATTACTCGGGATTTATATATTCAATATCAAATTTTTTACGGTAATGATATTATAATAAAACATAAAAGTAATTGAACATTTTTAAATTACTCCTATGAGTGATCTGATTTAGTACAAATAACCACAGCAAATTAGCATTTTAAATTTATGATCAATGTGAAGAGGTAAAACATGACTTACTATCTATTGCAGACAATTTTGTTTGAACAAGATTAAGAGCAGATTTAACACTCATAAAATGCAGGTCAATATAGAACTTGGATAAATTTGCCGATAATAACAGTTCATTCAATTTGCTGACACATTGTTTCGCTTTTTTTGCAAGTATATGAGCCTAAAAATTTAATAATAAATGCATTAAAAAAATTTGTAACATGTCTGGATCATTCACGACCGGATCAAAATAAATGATATAAACTGGCGAATCATTTAAAAACTACATTCAAAAAAGTGTCACAAATTCCGGACTGTTAGCAAATACTTTCAAGAAATAGTACTTAATCAAGATTCAATGTTTTGTAAGTTGAAAAATGTGATACTTGAGCAATATAGAACATTGCATCTGAGGGTTCTTTAGCACTCTGAATCATCATCTTTCGCTCCAATCCCCTATAGTTTTCTGCCTTTTGTCCGAGCAAAACCGCCTTTTTCTGAGCCCCTTGAAGAATTTGCTTGTGGACCTAAGAAACGAGTTTTAATGCCTGCCCAATTCATTGTTTTGGCAATGTTCCAAACTAAAATCATAAATACAAAGCAATAACTAACTTCAGATTGCAATTCTCTCTGTTGTTGGGGGTGTGACTCAGATGTACTTCGAGATGAATAAGAAACAGCATTGCTGTCGGCGAATTGATCAAAACTACTAGAAGTAGCTGGCGATAAACTCCTAAAAATAGTTGCTTCAGGTCTTTAAAATGAATCCCGTAAAGCAATGAGATAATCTCAAAAACACTGCAAATACGACTAATTCTGAGAAAATCTTTAGCTTTTTGGTAATGACGGAAAACTAAATGAGTAAGCTGACCCACAACCCGCTATATTTCTGGAATGAGGTTGGTCATACCATCATCTTATCTTTAAAAATTATTCCTATGAATATGGTAAATAATGTGGTGAATTATTAAAAAGGTATTGATACCATCACTATATCAATTTATATCATAAAATTTCAATCAATAGAAGACATAAGGAACACAAGCAATTTTCTACAAAATAAGAGCTTAGAACTCGATGGAATGTTTGACATTCCTAAAAAATAAATTTTGCAGCGAAATGAAGCAGAATACCACTCATTTCCTTAAATTCCCAAACTGATATTTAACAAAGTTACTTGCTATTATCCAAGCATTTTGTATTGCGTTTTCGACCGACACGTGGAGTATTACCCATCAATGCAGTTCGCCGTGATTTCTGTGAACAATTTAATCGTTTGTTCTGTACCTCACGTAAAGGTAATGAGCATTGCTGTAAAAAATAGCAATATACTAAGAAAATACTGGGCATTGTAATTTTCCACTAAAAAATTTATAACAAATATCCTTAACTTATCTTCTTGCTTCAGCGAACTTTTATAATTCTGCTACCTTTAAGAAAATTTTACCATAATTTACCATATTCACTTAAGAAAGTGAAATGTGAAATTTTGAATTTTCATTAAAGCATTAATCAAACTTCAAATCAATACTGTAATGCAGGAATGAATAAAACATAGAGAAGCTCTGTCAACTATTAACTAGAATATGAATAAATAATATCAAATACTAGTCACGAACTGCTTGTGCAGTAGAGTTGCCATTCCAAATTCGCACTAACTCTGCACTGGGAATAGCCCACGAGTAATTGTCACAATCATACCTTGCCAAATCGTTACGATCTACATAAAGGTAATAAGCATTGCTGTAAAAAATAACAGTATACTAAGAAAAACTTATAAAACTCAATTTAGTTTAAATTTGCTAAGATGTGCCAATACATTAGAACAAATACAAACTAGAAAATGGTGGTCTTGCTCTTCTATCATCTAATAACGCTTGATGATATCCTTGGCGATCAGATTCTGATCTCCTAGAACTTTCCTTAGCAAAATCCAATCTTTCTTCATGTGTATTCAATTTCCTAAAATATTTTCCTTCGATTTCATTAAACATTGTATTGTTAGTAAAACAACGAGCTTGAGACAACGGTTTCGCTTCACTTTTGTTCTGAAACTTACAAAAAATATGAATAAAGTCTTTTGAATCATGATCAGATTTTTTAATGAAAAATCGAAAGCGTCAAAAAAATAACCTCTTTATTTGAATCGGAAATTTCATTTTCCATGCTATTCTTGTGAACTGTTTGCAAAATAGCAATATTCTCAAAGTAGTCTTTACTGAAATATGCTCAGTAAATAAAAATTAGAGTTTTCAATGAAGGAAAGTTCTAATTACTCTATCTTCTAACACATGGTTAAATACTCCAATAGTCACCAAAGCATGAATTACGTCGCACCTAGATCTAGCCTTTACAGCTAACAATTTTTTTGAATCATGTATTCATACATATAAATATTTATATATCAATTTTTATTATATAGATTTCAATTTCTATCGCACAAATTTTGAACTCAGCACCTCAGCATCTATATATATAGGTGTTCAAAAGATGTGCAATAGAAATTGAATGCCTTCAATTAAAAGATGAAATGTGTCATACATTTGATGTTCTTCAATAGTCGAATAATCAAGAGTGCGAATATATTCAACTGATGCCTGAAAGTCAAAAATATAATAAACAAGGAAAACTCTAACAGTTTCAGTGTCATTTACTTTTTGATTACTTTGATACAACTCTACACAACATGGAATACATCTAAAGTTATCGAAACGAATAAACTTAAAGGCACTTTGAAAAAAAGGAGACGTTGTTTGCTAATAAGATCGAAGACTGAATTTAGAAAAAAAATTTAATGAAAAATCAGTATCACATATTATATATCTAAGAATAAATCAAAGATAATTATTTTCTTTTCTTCCACTTACCTTATTTTCATTTTGTGGTTTGAAACAATAGCTCTGCAAACGAAACTCTGAAATAAGAATATTAGTAGTGAAACAATCAATACAGTTCTAACATTGACAAATATCAAAAACATATGTACATTTCTCTTTTACACTTTTTGTATACAAGAAAAATTGTACACCTCTTTGTTATTACCTTAATCAACTAAATTTGAGATAAAATGAAAAGCAAGTGATAATAAATTTGGTGCTGATTTGAAAAAATGTGCGACAGAAACTGAATGCAGTTAAGATTAAGAATGATTCACAAATTAAGCATTTATACGCAAAAATCAAAGATTAAAAAAAGTTGACTCTTGAGCATTCTTTTTTCACTAATATAACCTTACCGTCATCGACATGATGATCATCACTATTACCATTCTCATCGCCATGGCACTCCTTACTATAAATATTCTCATCACCATGGAATTCATTACTATAAATATTCTCTTCGCATTGGATTTCATTACTATAAATATTCTCTTCGCATTGGAATTCATTACTACAAATATTCTCATCACCATGGAATTCATTACTATAAATATTCCCTTCGCCATGGAATTCATTACTATAAATATTCTCTTCGCCATGGAATTCATTACTATATATATTCCCTTCGCCATGGAATTCATTACTATAAATATTCTCGTCGCCGTAGCATTCATTAACATGACTATTCTCGTGATAGTAACTACTACTGTCTCGACCATTCTCATCTATATAATCTCCATCATTATAACAATTTCCATAACCATCAACACCATTATTCTGTAGTTGTGAAACATCCATCGCTAGAAACAGAAATCACTGTCTACTAGACTTAAGAAAATGTCAACCTTTTCTGAATTATGCAGGGAAATTACAAAAAATAATGCTACCACATGTTTGACAAATGTATCTCAATAAAGTAAAGCTTAAAGTAATGATTTTTTTAAATTCGAGAAGAAAGCAAAATGAAACAAACGTCTGATAAAAATCACATACGCTGATTAAAATACCAATGCGAATCGTTATCCAGCACATTTTCATGATTCGGCAATACACAGTCCGTACTTCTGAAAAAAACACTACTTATTGTTTGAACAGTAACTGAATGA